CATACATACACACGAACAAACATACAAACAAACAAACATACATACGTACATACATACATACATACATACATACATACATACATACGTACATACATACAAACGTACATACATACATACACACGAACAAACATACATACATACATACATACATCCATACATACATAAACACACACACAGATAGCCGTAAGTACAGGGCAAAGTCGAGTTGCAGAAGCGGATTTTGGGATGTGAGCCCATAGTGCAGATTGACAGTTTTGGCTTTTAAAGTGAAGTTCTCGGGTCCCATGCTTTCGATTGTGGCCACAAGGTGTCTCGTCTTCGGGTTTAGGGTTTAGGGTTTAGGGTTTAGGGTTTAGGGTTTAGGGTTTAGGGTTTAGGGGCTTCGGGTTTAGGGTTTGCACCTTTCGGTTGGCTGACGGTTGCAATTGCGAAGCGTTAATTCAGGCCAGGATTGCGTCAAGACTCAAAACACCAACGTGTGAACTTATATGGGTAGTTCTCTAAATTAGGGTCCCTTTGCGGGTCCCGTTTATAAGGGTGCCGTACTATGTTGGGGACCCAAAAAGGGACCCTATTTTAGAAAACTACCCATATGATAATACACCGACATCCCACTTCTCAATTCCCTCATCCTTCAAGCCGCAGCAATCATAATAACACAATAGGGCTCAGGGTTTAGGGTTTAGGGTTTAGGGTTTGGGGTTTAGGGTTTATGGTTTAGGGTCTACTGAAGCCATGCAAAAAGAAGTAAGCCCAACCTCCAGAGCCCCGAAATCCTCAAAAAAAAGACTTGCGCCTCCAGCAGGACCTTGTAGCCAGACTGTCGCGACAGCATGATTACTGCCTGCCACAAGAGACTCCAATACCCCTTAATTAAGGAACCCTTTAAGGACCCCTTTTAAGGCCCCTAAACCCTAAACCGTTATAGCAGGCCTTATAAAATCCTTTAAGGAATGCTTTAAAGGAACCCCAAAACCCTCTTCTAATTGTGAAGAGCCCCTACTTTCCCAGAGACTCCAATACCCCTTAATTAAGGAGTATACCTTAAACCATACTAGGGATCCTACTATAATTTAAGGTATATTCCTTAATTAAGGGGTATTGGAGTCTCTGGGTGAAACGCGATCACCATGCCCTAAACCCTACACCCCAAAGTAAAGATAGCACCAGGAAGGGAAGACGACAGTCTCAGACTCACTATGCTTTTTTTTGTGTGGTGATGACGAGGACAATGATGGTGACGATGACATAAGCCATGGTGGCAAACAGAGGAAGAATAATGGTACAGTAGCTTGAAAATGCTGGTTGCCGTCACAGTTTAGGAGTCTACTTGGAGGGTCGGGGGACTTAGTAAATGGTTATTCTATAGACCTATAAGTGCTACAACCCCAAGTAGGGTCCCTTAAAAGGTACTTATAAGTCTACTTATTACCTACTTACTAAGTCTCCAGACCCTCCAAGGAAGCCCAAGGAATCACAAACCCTAAACCCTAGACCCTAAACCCTAAACCCTAAACCTAAACCCTAAACCCTAAACCCTAAACCCCAAACCCTAAACCCTAAACCCTAAACCCAAACCGGGATC